TTTAAAAGATTGTAAATACCTCACGAAAAACCATAAAAAAATCAAATTAATCTACATAGTTTAAAAGTATTGTTATATAAACTACCAAACTCCCCTATGCAAGTGTTTCACAGGAGTGAAGATACATTATTGAGACAATGCTTATCTTTTGGAAATTTGAGCCTGCCAATTTCCTTAAAAGTTGCACTGGATTAATTAAGTTGTTTTAAAATCAAGAATCAACTTGAGTAAGCAGGTAATCTAGCTCATCCACAGAAGTGTAAACCTTATTTGAATTGATCTAATCCCTGTCTGTTTTTCCTTGATTGCGCCGTCACATATAATTAGGAAAGATACATTTCAAGTAATCAGCCTGTACAGGAAGCATTCCATGCACAGTGACACACAGTTTAGTGTGGGGTAAATTGCCTTTGATAGGTGTCCAGCTTATAGGTTCTTCATTTTTTCCACTTGGGTATCTAAACTGAGGCTATGAAATTCACTCCCAGAGTCAAATGCTCCAGGCACTGCAACACTCTGCTCTGTAAAATCTCCATGTGGTTTTGGTCTTGTTGTAAGTTATTAGGCTGCATCAGTATGCCCCAGCACTGTGAAAAGGGCAATTATGTAAACATTTTAAAAGGAATTGCTTCTTGTCTGGATGGTACAGGTTTTCCTTGTTGTGTTAAAACAGATCTTTTTTAAAAGCCTGAGGTCATTTCTTACAGCAAGAGAAAGTGTATTTGAACAACTGGCAGAAAGAAATACATCTATAGGTTATGATCACCAATGGCAAAAGCGAGATCAGAGGGTGACACAGTGTCTCTTCAGAGTGCTTATGCGTTTACCTGATAGCACTGCTCTGCATAACAGCCCATGAAGACATGGCCAAGAGAAAGGGAAAGTCATATAGATGACGTTTTTTTCAAAAACTCCATACTGAGTAAGAGAGGTATCTTTAATTGAACAAAGCTGGTATTTTCTTGGATCTGTCACTGAAAGGAGTATTCAAATCTGTAGTTTCTCAAAATTAGCATACTCTTCCTCATTCCTTTCCCATTAGAAATAGTAACTGACAACTTTTAGCAAGGAACAGTGTATTAATCTGTAGTCAGATACGTCGTCTTTGTAATTACTTATTTTGCGTATCTCACATAGTGGATGCTGATGCCTTGTTTTCTCAGATCCCATTTCTTACAGAAGTGCAGCCAACATAAATCTATTTTAGAACTGGCTCAGGAAAAAGTAATTTCTCATCTAAGCTGTACTCCCCCAAATGCTAGATTTGGGATTTCAAGACCAGTACTATTACCAGTCATTTCTTAAAGTGTTTGGAGAACCCCGTCTTGACAGAGGGAAACAGGTCATAAACCTACTATATAAACTCTAAATGATCACGAAGTGATTTACAGTTCTGGCATTTAGTGCTTCACCAAACAGTTGTACTAAATATAGTTATTTGCACAATACATTCTTCTGGGATTTGACAAAAGAGTTTGTATAAAATAAAAGCTGTCCAGGCTTGGGCACAAACTTTGGCCCAAAGCAAATATTTCTGAAGGTCAGAAAACTTTTAATAACTTGTTTTGTTATATTCAGATATGTCTTTGTGTTTCTAGTAGAAGGCAGGAATATCAATGCCATGAGAAAAGCCTGTTATTTCAAATGAACTGACCAGAAACCCCAGACAACTGGGATGCTTCCAGTACAAAATAATCCATCTTCTCCCTTCTCCGTACTTTTCTCCCCCTTCTCTTTTATGGCCACTCAAAAATACACAGCTGCCTCTCAACTTCCTTGAAAACACTGGTGAACTTCCCCTTCTCAGTGAACTGCTCCCTCGTTCCCATTAGTGTAGGAGGCACTGCTCATGCTTTTTCTCTGCAGATGTGAACTGCAGCAATGGTCACCTCTTGTACATGCTTTGTCAGATGGTGAAGCACTTTAAAAATACTAAAAGGTGGAATAAAATCTCATCTACCCACTCTTTAGTGTCAGAAGCAGGGAAATGCAGAAAAATCATACTTTATATATTCATTGGCTTACAGAAGGATCAGAATTTATGACTTTTAACTATATATTTAGAATCTTCAGATAAGTGGTTAATTGTCCAATACTTTCTATGAATGTAATTATCAATTAGAAAGTCCAAAAACACTTAGAGACTGTATTACTGACTGCAAAATATTTATTTGGTATGATTATACTCCAAGAATAATGTCATTTTTAATACATCTTCACAAATTTATGTTTAAAAACTCTCAGTGAAAGATTCCTTTCTTCTTAAATCTCATCTTTTCTGCGTACATTGTATTCCCACTGCTTTCTTCTGGTCCCAGTTGCTGGGTCCAGTCCTGCAAATGAAAGTCGATGGATGTGCTCCAGTTAAATATTCAGAAATAGTGATAAGGGAAACCTTGTTACAGCCCTAACTACAGGTCAGTAAGTTTAGAAGGCACTCATGGCTTGGCAAAGGATCTGTTCTCCTCACTTCATCAGTTACAGATTCCATGTTGCGGTTTTGTGAGTTGATCCTAAAACTGAACTTCTGCTGAGCATTTAAAACAGGCAGGAGCAATATTTCTGCAGGTTTGCCAACATCTTTGCTTTTGTCCTCAATGCATTGGGCTGCTTCTGAATATCAGCTTAATGATCTAACCTGCCAAAACTGCTAACGGATCAGAGCATACCAGGCGCTCTCGAGGAAGATGGTAAAGCATGCTTAAATGCCTTCTCTGGGTGGGAAGCTGGCATTCTTGCAAGGCATGAATTAGTTCACACTAATTTTCAAGTGAAGAAGGCACTTTTCAAGTCTGTCTTTCCTCTTAATGGAGAAATTCCTGAAGACAAAGATTTTGGATTGCTCTGAATCTTTTATCTTTTCAATTTATGCATAAAACTCGAATAACTAGATAAAAGACTGTTTGCCTAAAGTTACTTAATCTTTCATAATATCTATTAATCACCATGTACAGTACATCTTTTCAGCTTAGACAGTAAAGAGGCAGGCAGCAATCAGAACAGCTCTATCTGCTCTCACTCCACAGGCAGGCTTCAGGAGATGCTGTCAAGGTAATTTCCCCACTTAGCTGAGAAAACAACTGAGTTGTAAAGTGACATGAAAAAGCAGACGCCATTTCAGAATGGGAACCGTTGCAAAGAAGTAAATACATTTTATTTCTCCCTGCCTATTTTGAAGCCAATAGATGCAGTAGTAATGCTTACTCAAATATGAAGATTTATAGAGAAATGTCCATGAGAAACGGTGTTTAAGTATAACTAAACTATTACTGTGTGAAAGAGGCGGGAAAGAGGACCATTGCTAGCATATGCTAGCTAGCAAATGATGTACTGACTAACAAAGCAGAGCCATTCTTAGAGGTCTCATATAAATGTTCTTTGACAGTAAGCACCCCTACAAAGTAATGCTTTCAATTATCGCTGATGCTTTGACTCACCAGCTAGCGAGTGCCACCCTGAGGAGCATTTACACTACTGGTGCATATTCATTACAGGAGATGTTTTAAACTAAAAGGGTGTGTATTGCTCCCCAGCCTGGGCTGCGGCACCAGGGACGCTGTTGCATCTTCCGCAGCCAGGAGGAAATGGCCTGCCTCTTGTAGGCAGGATAGGTACCTTGAGTTGATTAGAGTAATTAGTAGTTCATTAGCTCAACTCAGTCCAGCTGGATAAGAATGATTGGTGCCATAATTCCCCCTTTTTGTTTTAGTATTTTTGTTTTCACAAAGGCTTTATGGGTGAGCAGAGACCCGGCCCATTCATCCAACTCCAGCACGCTTCCCTCCCGCGAATACCACATCGGGGCTTGCAGCTTTACCTTCTTCTCCGAAGGACTCTCGCTCGAGCTCCCAGCTCCGGCTCCTTTGCAGCCAGGGCTCTCGGCTCGGCGAGGGAGTCGGGGCTTCCCAGGGTCTCATCGATGTATCACGTTGGGGTCACCAGTTGTTGCTCACCAGCCTGGGCTGCGGCACCAGGGACGCTGTTGCATCTTCCACAGCCAGGAGGAAATGGCCTGCCTCTTGTAGGCAAGATAGGTACCTTGAGTCGATTAGAGTAATTAGTAGTTCATTAGCTCAACTCAGTCCAGCTGGATAAGAATGATTGGTGCCATAGGTGTGAGCGTTGTCAAAGCTGAAGAGAGGTTAGGCTCAAATTAATAAAACTAAAATTGGTTCGCAGCTTTTAAAGGCAAGTTCTTTTGTTGTGGTTTTTTTTTTTTCTGGTGTGTATTTGTGCCCTGTTTTGGAAGTGGTTACCCGGTCAGTTAATTTACAAATGTCAGGTTTACAACAGACTTCCAAGAAAGAGGTCTGTATTTATTTCCAGCATCACTGTATCTGGAAAACCGCACTTGTGGGAAGGGAACCCAAAGATCTGCTCTTTGATTTTCACCTTTATGGCCATAAGCCACTGTTACAGTTCATCTATGTGCAGTGACCAAACTGGTAATGTGGAATAATGCTTTGTTTAAGAAGATGCATATTAAGCTTAACTTAATCATACTGACTTGAATATGTTACAATATATCACCATTTCTCTTGAAAAGCAGTGTTCATTTGGCTTTCATCTAGATTTTCAGGAAAAATCTTATAGACTGTAATAGTGTGAGACAGCCCTCTGAAAGAAGTAGTTGGAGTTATAGTAATCATTTGAGCTTTCCTGGACATTGACAAATCTGCATGTTTAAGGAGGGAGGAAAATATGGTTGCCTCTCAGTTTTAGACTCCTATGCAAACATAAAGTTCTGAAGTGGAAGATTATACTTTTTCAGTGCAACTGTCACAGAAAATGTTGGTTTTGAAGGTACAAGCTGTTCCTACTATGTAACTCATAATTTCTGTACATGCCTGTGATTAGGCAGCTATATAAAGATAAGGCCACCTAACGGTCTATGAAATGCTCTGGAAAAATCATGTTATTGAGATAAAAAATGAGGCAAAAAAAATGATGCAACTAAATTTCTGTTCTAATGTGTCTTCTATTTTTTTTTTTTTTATCAGAAGACAACAATGGATGGTCCCTGCAATTTGATAAACATTATACAAAGGACAAATACAATAAACTGAAATCTCTGTATGCATTTCAGACAAAGACACCTGAGTGCTGTAAGTAGTTAAGGATATCATTTGTGTGATTATTACTGATGATTCCTAGAAAGAAATACATAGCAAATATGCTTATCAGAGAGAGAAATATAGTGCAGTTTCGTTTATAGTGAAATAGAACTAATGTCTCAGACAAACAAATGCATTGGAGCTAATTTCAGTTCCATTAAGAGTGACCAATTATCTGTAAGAGAAATGTCAAACATGCCAATTAGGAGGGCAATATACACATATATAATACTATATTATATTAATACATCTGGAAAGGCCATGAAACAAGCATCTTTTGGAGTGAAAAGAAGGCAACATTCCTCCAAATTCACTTCTTGGTATGTCAATTGATTCTTGCAGATCTCCTTCATTTCTGTGGGCATTCATCCCTTTGTACAGATTTTCTGACTCTGCTGTCTACTATGAGCACGAACTTAAAGCACAGAGACAGGGAGGGAAAGGGAGTAAAGACTTCCTTACCCATTTTCATCCCATTTTCACCCGGACAGAATTATGCTTACTCTAGTAAATATAAGAGGACTGAATAATCTAGATAAGAGCCACAAAGAATCTGAAAAATGGCTACCATGCCAGATTCCTGTATATGAAGCCTAAAGCTCAAGAAGTTTTACAAGCTCTTTCACGAGGTCGGGAGGTAACAATTTTTTGTGCCTCTTTATATTTACTGTTAGGGTCTTCCCAGGTATAAATCAATTACATAAAAAAGTGTGTCTTGATTTCTGTTTAACACAACCTGGTATGTCTGTCTTTGTGCTCATTGTTCTTTTACACTGTATTTCTTTTCTCCACGGGCCATCACACCATCCCTCCCACCTTTTGCCACGACGTCTTGTTCTCGCTCAGTGGCTGGTGCTGTGCCAGCAGAGTGCACCTGCCAAAGGCTGGAGGTCTTCTGCGATGCTGCCAAATTGCGTGCGGTCCCCTCAGTCTCTTCAAACATAACCATAATGTAAGTAGAGCAGAAAAGTGGTCTCTTGCTCTGTTCAGGTTTGACAATCAATCCTGCAACTTTTTTCACAACTATAGCCTTGTAATTACGACCAGTTGGCTCAGCTGGTGCTTGTGAAAGCATAGAGTATCTCTGTTGACAAGCCCTTTAATGTTTTAAGTACAGATTTTCCTTGCATAAAAGGAGACAAAAGAAACTAAAAAAACTGTGTGAAGTGATCATTTCATGTTTGTAACAGTGGTTTAGGCTAACAATAGTTTCAAGAAATCTAAAGAAATCTTTGAAAGAAAAGTTTCCATTTAAGACACAATGATTAGGACCTTTTTATTATTTTATGATTCTGCCAATATTCCTAGTTTATATTCCTGCCAATAAAGTCAGTAACCTTGAACGCAGTGGAACTACCTGCTTGAGCAAATCTTTTTAGTTCTCATTTCATGTCTCTGAATGCACCATTATTTAAAATTATTTATTCTGGGCTGGGTCATCATACAGATACATATATGTAAGCCAAACTTTTTGAAGAGATCAGGGAATGGTTGATACTGCTCTTAGTTTGCACATCACTGTTTGAGAGGCTGTTTTCTGTGTGATGAGCAGAGGGCAGCATCACTTGTCCTCACCTGAGGGTCTTCCCTGTAGAGCAAGGGTACGACTCTTTCTGTTCGGTACCAGTTTGGGCTCACCTGTGGCTGAGGTTCTCCTTGTTGGGTCCGTGTTCAAATACAGAATAAAGATTGACATGGAATGTCAAATATATATTTAAACTGGCTGTTGGCTCAGGGTCAAAAATAAACCCAGTTCTAGCTTTAGAAAAAGCAGTGAATTGGTTTAGCTGGCTCTCAGGCTAGAATTTTTCTAATCCAACCATGCCCTGAATGACTTTTCTTCTTGACAGGACACTTGAGTTGGAGCCCAGTGGAGATGGGGACATAGGGACACATGCACTGGGAACTAAGCTCTATATGCATTTGAAGTTTGAAATAAATCTGTGGTTTAGTTTATATTCAAATCTTTTTAACTCTTAGATTTAACTATTATTTTGTCAGTTTCTGACTCAGACTAACAGAGCTAGCATATTCAGATGGTTTAATGTTGCTTTTATTATTTAGCAGCATGAAAGCTGCTCTTACTGAAAAACAGAAGTGGCAGCACTGTAGGAACCTGGGAGAGTAGTTTCACTGTGTGCATTCCTTCCTACAGGTCTCTTCAGAGGAATCTGCTAAGGAAACTTTCTGCTGACATTTTCAAGAAATATCAAGACCTTAAAAATCTGTAAGGGAGTGCTTCAACTTAAAATATCTATTTAGTGCCTTAAATATTCATCTTCTTCCTCTCACATACACACACACAGAGCTTAACATCCAAGTGACAACTCTCATTTTATACTCAAAATTCTGTTTTGTCTTACCCTTCAGTACCTCAACTAATTGTGCAACCTGTTTGGCTCAGATAGCTTGATTCAACATCTCTCTTTTTTTGAAAAACTATGATTTCTGTATATTTAATGATTTTATGTTAATTATTGTATACCGGAAAAATGCCTAACTTTCATCGCGTCTTAAGGAAGTTAATATTTCTAATGAATAGTAATATGCCAGAAGAAATTAAAGTAACTCAGTCCATTTATTCTGCAAAGCAAAAGTTTGGAAACTTAAACTTCCCATCGTCATAGGAAGCTCACTCACATGGCACTTGGTTTTACTCTAAGTTATGTCTGGTACCAATTTGATAATGCCCCAACTAGTCAAATTGTTATGGCAACACAGTAACGCGTTGTGTTTTATGAGTGTGACATATATGTTATTCAAAAATCATAGCCTTTAACAAGTTTTCTTTATATAGAATTAGTGAAATTAAGAATTAAAAGCAAAAGTCTAGAGCAGGGCTCCTACGTCACCAATTCAGGGCATTTAACATTCCTAGAAAACTTAATGGAGTGAGAGCTTTATGGAAACTGTGCTGTACTGCAGCACCATCTGGTGTTCACAAGGCTAAGTGCCATTTATGACTTTAAAGTCCTGAAAGATACGTTTTTGTTAAAAGAAATACATCCATATCTATCTGTACAAAACAGGTGTTTTTAATATGAATTTCACACCTTTCTGATCGATAACTGTACATTTTCAGAAATCTCTTGAACAGAGTTTGATAGGAACCCATTTGTAAAAGCCGATGTCAGATTTCTTACTGAATGTGTCCGGATGCTTTATTAACTGTAATTTAAGTGAAAGGATTGCTGTTTAAATATTACTCAGAGAATAACACTATAATGCTTTAAAATTATTTGAAAATTATTTAATGTTTGCAATTGATAATATTTTGAATTCATTATTTCATCAAAATAAATAAAGAAAAACAAAGAAAACGTAAGTATACTTTAGTTTGCAGAAGATTAGTAAGATTTGTTTTACATTTTTATTATACTATGCTAAAACCGCAGCATTTTGAAAATTGTCTGATACTTTAAACAGAAAATTCAAAAATGCATTTTAATTTTACGTTTGCCATGCAAAATTTTGCTTGTAGGAGGGTTCTGGATAAACATAAAGATCAGGTCACATAGGTGAGAACTGTGAGGTTAGGACCTAAAGCAGGAGATCGCAAACTACCACTTCGTTGTTCATCTCAGGCAAACCAAGCGTCTCCTTAAATGGATTTCATAATTCTGCTGGGATGAGGGAAGGTATTTCTTTTAAAACGCCTTTGCAGTCTTTCCAGTTATAGCTCTGAAATGGTTACTGTCAAATTTATGGTGTAACAAGTTTGGCAGCTTCTTTTCAAGTATCACATGCGCATTCGGTTTAGTTGATATATTTAATGGGTTATTTCTGCTTGCTTTAACTTTGCATGCTTAGAGAATTAATCGTTTTCGGGTTTATATCTTCTTAGCTATCTTCAGAATAACAGAATCAGAGCTGTATCTGAACGCGCTTTCAAAGGTTTATACAACTTGACAAAACTGTAAGTATTGCTTTTCGAATATTGAAGTAAAAAGCAGCGACTCTGAGAGTCATTATGGATGGCTCTCTCACATTTGATTCAATATTAGGAAGCTGCAAAATGGTCCATATCTTTAACTCAACGATTGGATTGAGAAAGCAAAGTTAAGTTAAGAGTTATCTGTGCAAGTTTATCTGACAGGACAATACTTTGAAAATAGAAGTGGGCTTCATACTTCATTCCTGTTCCCCAAATTCTCAGAATGGAAGAAGGAGACAGTACAGTAGTTCCCTTGCAGAAAGTTAGAGAGAATGAAAAAGGAGTAAAACAAAAGCGAGTGCTTGTGATGAGCGAAAACTCTTTAACTTTGTATTTTGATCTACAGAAGCAAACCAAAGTAGCCAGTATTGCTAATGAAAAGAACACTTTTTTTTCTTTATTTTCAGCAGCTTTTCAAAGGTTCTTCTAACTTGTAAGGGAAATGCTCAGTGAAAGAGATGACATAAATTGCATTTTTTCTTTCAGGGTTTTTTTTCTGCAACATTTTTAAAAGGAAAATTTTAAAATGTCGTACCTCTTATTTTTCCGTCATAGAAGTGTGTTGATTATTTGTTATTATAGCTGCTGTTATTACCTTCCTAGACCATTTATATACCTCTCCTTCTTCATTTCTCAGCCTTTCTTTTTCCATGATTCTGGTATCTACATTTATGACTGACATCCTTAGCAAAGACTGAATAGGATCCTAGGAATATTCATGGAAAGAATCACTCCACAGAAGGAAAGTGGGAACGGCCTAAAATATGACACAGTGAAAATATTTAGCTTGCTGTGTTTTCTTATAGATAAGACAAAATGTTCTACATAATTGCTCTGAAAGTCCTCACTAGAGAGATTCACCTTGCTCTCAAAGAAAGGCATGAATAATACAATAATCAAAAATGATAAATATGAATAATTTTAGTGATATTCTGATAAACTATCAAAGAAAAAAATCTTAAAATTAATTTTAATCATCTGATGCTAATTAATCATTCCATTAATTTATCTTTGGTTGGTCTTGTTTTAGATACCTGAGTAACAACAAGATAACCAGTTTGAAGCCTGGCGTCTTTGCAGATCTCCACAGACTTGAATGGCTGTATGTTGTTTTCTCATTTGCATGTTTATTTTCTCAAGGAATAACTAAAGCAAGACAAAGAAGTATTTGGATTGCTTTCATTTGTGCATGTTACATTGTGCAAGGTAAAAAATCCAACTGACTTTGGTGAGAGCAGAAATTAGTTCCTGGGCCTTAATGGCTCCAATGGCTGATGACTTTTACAATACTAAATAATGTTTATTAGGAATTGCTTGTTACAAATGAATGCATGAAATGACTCAGATACCATACAAAAAGTAGAAAGATAATTTTTGGGGCAGATCTTTCCCTGTAAATAATGCCTAAAATATCTCAGACAAAATGACTGTCATAATCTGAAATACTGGTTTATTACTGCTTTTCAGGCAGATGAAAATGAAATACTACTTTGACTCAATAAGTTATTAAAAATAAGCAAATAATAACATGCTTAGCGTTTTTCTGTGTGTTTGGAACTGTTGGATTGCCATGGAACACTGTTATGTGGTGCTGCTTTGTTTTCACAGAGAATCCATTCAAAGCATTTTGATCAAAGAACTTTACAAACTCACAGGAAAACACTTTTTTCTAAGTTGAAAGTAATTACTTTCTCTAAGTTTTGAGGGGTTTTTAATTAAATTATTCTGAAAGGAAATTAATTCAATGAATACTCTGACCTACTAAGGAGTAGTGCATTAATTTTTTAAGTAGTTTAAATGGACATTTGAAGAAACCCACTTCTAAGTATGTTACTTTTTGTCATCTGTTCAATTTTAGGCTGCAGTCAATTATCAGTCTGACACATGATTTGCTCTAATTTACAGGATAATTGAAAATAATAAGATAAATCGGATCTCTCCATTAACATTTTACGGACTCAAATCACTTATTCTCCTGTAAGTATGGAATAAAAATCAAAAGTGTTATCTAAAAGAACAGAACAGAAATGGCAGATATATACAAAAACCTTTTTATAAAGCCTGTGCTTGCTCACCCTGGAGTAATGGCAGCACACCTGTGGCTTTTTCTTACTCCCAGGTAAATTGTCTGGAGTAGGAGGATTTTGGCAGCAGCGGACATGCGGTGTCTGGAAAAGTATAGGGAGATGGGTTGGAAAAATGGTAAAAAGACAATGTGGAAAAATGGAAAAAAAGATAATGCCACTGAGAGGGTAAGGAGGTGCTACAGCAATGGGTGCCAGCTGTCACTCAAAGCCGCAGTACAGGTCCCAAAGCTCCTGCCCCCAGCAGTGGCCCAGCCTCCCTCCCTGAGATTCTGTCCAGTCTCAAAAATGAGGGATACTCTTCCCCTGCAGCCTGGAGGGAAACCTCTCTCCATATCCCACTTCCTCCATCACCCATAGAAGTTCCATATTACGACCCAATAGCTAAATATTTGTATTGACTTGCTGTGTTTTATTTTAATAGCAGTGAAGTGAACACCTTTCCTTTATCTGATAATTAACAAGTTAAGAATAAAATACCACTCCACAGAATGCCACGGGGAAAATATGTGGAAGTTTAAGAAAAATAATACTACCTTCAAGATTATGAGAAACTAATCAAGCTTTGATTGTCTTTTTTTCAAAAGTACAAGCATGAGGCGTGATATTTTTCTAAAATGTAATTTTTGGCAAATATAGCCAGCTATACTATTTCTCTTTTTTCCAGAGAGATGATGAATAATTCTCTTTCTCGTTTGCCTGATAAACCTCTGTGCCAATATATGCCAAGACTAAACTGGCTGTAAGTCTACCTTATTTCACTAGAAAAATATTATTTTATTGTCTTCGTATGACATTTCTGTACCACTTTTTCTAATGGGACGCTGAACCTTGCAAAGTGCCTGCTGGGTCACTGCAGGGTTGATGACCTGAAGTCATCAATCAAGTGTGTAGAAATATTATATGTCTGGTTCCCACTCTCTTCTGTGTAGTCATGAAGTTCCAGTAGTGTTTTTCTTTAACTACCTTAGAATAACTACCTGAATTTATTTTCAGTGATTGATGTTTTGTTTTTATATCCCAGAGATCTTGAAGGCAACCATATCCATCATGTAAGAAATGTCACTTTCATCTCCTGCAACACTCTAACTGTACTGTAAGTAATAGGATATGCTAGTTAGCCAGAGTGAAATACGCTTATGCTGAACAGTCAAGTGATTCATTATCGCTAATACGAAAGTTTCCTGTGTATCATGGTTATTTAGATCTCAAAGATATTAAATTAAAATGTTTAGGTTTAAACGAGTGCCATATGGAATAACTACTGCTTACATTTATAGCAAAGTTTGGTATTGATATACACAACTACATTTCGCTGAAGTGATTTTGACTGATATTGACATATAGAAATTTTCTTTCTACCTTTTTACTTGGAAGGAAGCAAAAAGGAAGCAAAAATCTCGTAATAAAAAGCAGCAAACATACAAAATGCATAGCTTGTTTCTTTGTTTTCAAGAGTTTGATTGGCTGGTTAGTTGGCTGACTCATCAATTTTAGAATTTTCCCCAAAGTTTCTTCAGTAATGATGTAATCATCTTCAGAAAATCCTTTCTACTTTGTCATAGATTAGTAGGCTACATGGTACCTGTCACTTTCAAATTTTAACTCTTGTGCAGTACCCATATTCGTGGCTTTCTCTTTGCTTTTAAAATCCAGGTTGTTCATTTAAGGAGCAAACTCAGTGGCAGATGAAATATGAGTGAAGGAAAAGTTGCACAGCCACGGGTCTGTGCCTGAGATGCAATTAGGTCACAAGCCTTCCAGTCCACTTAATCTTCCTCCTGCCCTCAGTCAATTTATTCCAGCCTCCTGTGGGGGGTGTGTGTATATATATATCATATATATATATACACACACATATATACATATGCACGAATACATGTCTGTATAGGGAACAAATGTTATTTACCAAATGGTGAGCTTCTAGATACAATTAGCTTGTTAACTGAATTGGACAAATATTTGAAGATGCAGAGAAGACAGAATTTTTAAAGTTTATAAAAAGCTTTCTCCAAAACCAAATAGATGTCAAGAAGCAGCAACATAAGTTTGTTTTACTCTTTCAGGGTGATGAGACGAAATAAAATCAGCTCTTTAAATGAAAACAGCTTTTCTTCTCTCCAGTTGTTAGATGAATTGTGAGTAGATTTTTTCTCTTACTTGTACAAGTCATAAAGTTTTATAATTTATATTGCAAATATCATTTATCATAAATTTATCATAATTTATCATAAATATCATTTATCATAAATTCTATTTCATGTAACATGCTTTGAAGTTAGCACCAATCCTCAGGTTTCTTTCTATATATTTAACAGGCGATAAAATACATAGTCTGTATCAATAATATTAGAGGTTTTGCACACAAGATCATTATGTTACCTGAACAGAATATTAATTGATCCTACGTCACCACAGTCTACAGTGTCTTTTAGAACAGTTTGCCAGTTTCAATCAGACTGAGACCTTTACTCCCCTATCCACAGTTCCTAGGATTTATATTTTGTGAAAATGAGGAGCAAGGCAGAGAGAACTAAGGGAAAGATGTGCTAGTTAACCCATGGGAAATAATTCCCATCAGGAAACAATATATTTAACTTATTTCCAAGCTCCTACAACCCAAGTTAAGGGTAATTTACTTTCTTTTTGTTGTACCTAAAATAATAATAAATTATGTACCTAATTGCTTATCTGAACTGACTAGATCTGATGGATCTAGTTTCCCAACTTGTTTTAACAGCATCCTTTCATAGTCCAAGTTTCTGATAACCTATATTATACATAATATCCTGTTTGGCAAACAGAATAAAACTGTGTGTCTTGAAACTGCAAAACTGTTCAGTAAAATTACTGAGCCTAGCAAGAACTTATTGTATCCTACCTGTGGCTGTTTCTGCAGAGATTTGGCTAGCAACAAGATTGAATCACTTCCTCCATATATTTTTAAGGATCTAAAGGAGCTTTCACAACTGTAAGGATTCTTGATTATTATTTTTATTATATATAACTGTATATTACTCATTTGATATGATGCTTTCAGTCGTGAATGCTGGGAATGGAAAGAGCACCCTTGTTTGTATGCCTCATTTAAGCTCTGCCTAAAAAGTACTTATCCCAAAAGTAACTCTACATAACATGTTGCCAGGAATAGTTTCGTAAAAGATGTGTATTTTCATGTCTCAAAAGACAACAAGTTCAACTTCTACTGTCATGGTTTAACCCCAATCAGTAACTGAGTGCCACACAGCTGCTCGCTCACCCTCCCCCACCCTTGGGGAATGGGGAAGAGAATCCAAGGGAAAAAAAAAAAGGAGATTTGTGAGTTGAGATAAAAACAATTTAATAATTGAAATAAAATAAAATTAGAAGTAATAATGATTAAAATAATAATTAAATGATAATATATAAAAATTAATATATACAAACAAGTGATGCACAGTGCAATTGCTTGCCACTCACTGACCAACGCCCAACCCTCCCAGCAAGCAATCCTGAAACAGAGAAGTC